AAGTCCTGCTCCCTGAAGAAATCCTTGAGCTAATAATATTTCCTTATGTTTTACAATCGACCCATCAGAATTGTGCTTCAGCTTGAACACCCACTTCACTTTGATGGCTTTTGTATGAGCTCACAATTCGACTAGCTTTCTCGCGTTGTTTCTTTCGATCGCTTGTAACTCTTTGACCATAGTTGACTTCCACTGTTTATTCTTTAAAGCTTGCTATATTTGATTGGTTAAACACCTGCAAGTAAAGCAAAATGAAATAATTATTCACATGTTGTAACTTCATTATCACTAACCACTTCACAATATTGAAGCCTTGCTAGAAGAACTCTATTTCTTTGAGGTCTCTAGATTGTGCTAGCCAGACCCTCTTCTACTTTGACTCTATCCAGAATGTTAGCGACTGCTTTGATTTTGACCTCATTGATTTCTTCATCAATGCCATAACTCATCAAAGGCTTGATAATTACATCACCAGAATTCCAATCCCAGGTAGAATTTTTATCAATCACAATATATCGATGCATCACAATCTTCTCATTAATTGGATCTAATAGCCTATATGCTCCAATTTTATGACATCCTACCAGAATCATAGGTTCACTTTAGTCATCAAGTTTTCTTCTTCTCGCATCAGGGACATACTTGTAACAAATAGAGCTAAACACTATCAGATGACTCACTAATGGTCGTTTTCCACTTTAAACTTCTTCAAGAACCTTGTTCTTCAGTTTCTTGATAGGGCACCTATTCAAAATATAAACAGTATTTGTGACTGTTTCACTCTATAAGGATTTTGGTAGATTCTTCTGCTTCAACATGCATCTCGCTATATCCAATGTGGTCTTGTTTCTAATTTATGCTATTACATTATGTTAAGGAGTATAAGGAACAATTACCTCATTATCAATACCATGTTCTGTACAAAAGTATTCAGACAACTTTGATGTATATTTTCCACTTTCATATGTTCGCGAGAACCTTGATCTTCTTTTTACTCTAGTTTTCAACAAGTATTATGAATCTCTTAAAGATTGCAAATACTTCGTGTTTGTGCTTGATCACATAGATACAAAGCTTTTGACTATAATCATCGACAAACAAAACAAAGTACCTATTTCCATCAATGGTATGCTCCTCGAATGGGCCACATACACCTGAATATTCAACTTCGAGTATGCAGGAGGATCTCATTGGCATAGTTGAAACAAAAGACTTTATTAGTTGCTTCCATACTAAGCATCCTTCAAGGATTTTGTCGGGCATCACAAGACTTATTATACTCGTTACCAAGTCTTGAGTAATCAGTTTATCGAGTGACCTAAAATTCAGATGTCAAAACCTCAAATTCCACAACCAACTATTCTTGTGGTCAACAACTGCTTTTAGGCATTGTACCTCAATTGAATTGATCATGGTCTTAAATATTATATTCTTCGACAAAGAATATTTTAAAACCATATTATTCCGAGTGTCGAACAGTTCCAAAGCTTCATCTTTCATAACAACTAAGAAACCTTTTTCGGCAAGTTTTCTAACACTTAGAAAATTGCACTTCATTCGAGGTACATAGAGTACATCTTTGACCATAGATTTTTATTAGTTTATCCTTTGAACAAATATGTTTCTATTACCTTATGCTTCCAATGAGATATTATCTGCAAGTTTGACCTTGCTCTTCTTCGACTCGTCGAAATCTGTTAGCCACACTTTTATACCAATTATATGATTCGAGCAGACTGTGTCGGAAAACCAGATCTTGGTGTCGACATGTTCATATATAACTACATCCATAACCACCATATTTTCATAATCATCCGAATCTTGGTGTGCAAGCTTTGCTCTTTCATCTTTGCCTTTTGTCGTTCCCTTGTCTTTTATGTACCAATAATTTTTGCCTTTTGTGGCTCCATTGTCTTTTATGTACCAAAAGTTATAACATGCACACCTTTTTTCTCTTCTTTGTATTTGTGATATGAGTTTCCTTCTCCTCTTTTTAAGGATTCATAGGCCCTATCATCGATCTTATACTTTTGAGGATTCTCCCAAGACTTATTGCTCTGAGTCTTTTCTCCTTTGTCTTTGAACTTGATGAAACCACTATGCTTCTTCCATGTCTATACCTGTAGTGCTTTATTGAATCTTGTACCCCTTTCCTCTCAATAATTTGTAAATCATGTGCCTCCAACAAACTAACTGAATCTTCCAGTTTCATGGTTTTAAGATTGTTAGATTCTTGAATAGCTGTAATAACATGATCAAAGTGAGAGGTTGACATACACATTACCTTCTCAACTATCATTTTATCAGTTAAGAATTCACCAAAAACTTTCATGAGATGGATAAAATTATGCATCTTCGTGACATAGCCTGCGGTCTTTTCATCTTCTCTCATCTGTAGTAGTTCATACTGCTTTCGTAGTTCCTGTAATTTGACAACTTTCACCTTTTCATCTCTTCACAATACTTGACAAGAATATCCCATGCCTCATTTGAAGATTCAACATGAGAAATATGATCAAAGTTCACCGTGTCTACCGTCGATTAAATATAAAATGCTGCCTTGCAATCCTTTTTCTTGGCATCCTTGTAGACGGTTCTCTGGGCATCGGTTGCATTCTGAGCAAGCGTAGGAACTCCATTAGTAACCACTTCTAGGGTTTCATGAAAGCCAAATAACGACTGAATTTTTTTACTCCATCGAATCCAATTTTTTCCATCAATAATTGGAAGATAATTTGGAACATTGTCATTATTACCGTTCATCTTTGCAGCGATTGATTAACAACCCAAGATCCTGGAAACACGATCACCAATGTGTGATTCTTGAAAACACGATCAAGAAACTAACTGGAGCTCTAGATACCAATTTATTAGTGTTTGATGCACTCTGAGTGAGATAAGGAATAAGAGAGAGAGAGAGAGAGAGAGAGAGAGAGAGAGAGAGAGAGAGAGAGAGAGAGAGAGAGAGAGAGAGAGAGAGAGAGAGAGAGAGAGAGAGAGAGAGAGAGAGAGAGAGAGAGAGAGAGAGAGAGAGAGAGAGAGAATATTAATTGAGAATTGTTATTATTATTGAAAGCTAAATCAATTGAGTTACAAATATGTGTATATGTACAAGTATGTGGCTTGTATACTAAGTAACTAACATAACAAACTCTAACTAACTTGAGTTTGGGTTTGGGTTACTTAACTTAGATTATACTCTCAACAATTTGATCTCAATTATCTTCAGTTTATTCAATTGAATTTACAATTGGATTTTGTCCTTGATTTTAACACTTAGAGGAAAGTCGGGATGGACTTTGGTGCCTTTAAGCCGTCACAGACATACTTTTGTGTCTTTCTCTCTATGCACAACTCTCTCATCTCATTTTTCAAATTTATAATTTTTCAATCAACAAAACTGAAGGAAAAAACAACTAAAGGCACCACGCTTTTGGTGCCTTAAAGGTCGCTGATCCTTGCTCGAGAAAAGCCATGATTGAAATAGTAGGATTGTGCTTTGTGACCCATTTTGCAACAAAAGGAGTAAACCTTTAAAGAGGAAGAATTTCCCCTTGAAAGTACGATCTACCCCTGCCACGACCATGATCCATGAGTTAAGAATTTCCTTGACTGAGTGTGATGTTGATTATTGTTGTTAGTATTTGTTGATATTGTAATTCTTTGTGTTGAAGCAAGTTGCTAGACATAAACAAGATCGTGTCGAATTAGTCTAGTGTGTATGTCGAATTATGTAGTTGTCGAAATGTCAAAGGAGTTGCCTCGACAGGGTTTCGACTTAGACCTAATTTTGTAGTTAACAAAATTAGCTATTTTTAAGCTTTGGCTTAGGGAGCTAGCAAATATAAAACTATAAATAGAGAGTAACCTCTATTATCGTAATACACTTGAACTCTGCAGATATTCATCTTCTTCCCCTATTTTGTTTAAACCCCAATCCTCTTCTTTTCATTTATATTTTCTTTCTTCTTCCATTAACAATTGTGCAGTAGAATCATCTTGCAATCAATGTTAATTGATTCACTTGAGTGAAGAACAAGAGAAATTTGACCAAATTTATTAAATTTTGTTTATTAAAATTAATTCGAAATTCTCTATAAATTTAGTGTAATTCCAAAAGTATTAACCGTGAAGATCTTGGATGCATAAGTTGCCAAAGTCTCAATAACTTGTCTGTCTTGGTACAAAACCATGGAGAAAACTTTGCTAATATCAGGTAAAGGTTCTATCATAAGCAGTTGAGTCTCTTGGCTTTGCTGAAAAGATTCATCAAGACCCTTCGAGAAATATATTTCATGCTCAATTTTTTTTTCTTATCTAATTGGATCATCTCAATTTTTTGTTTTTTTATAGCCAAGTTTGATCCACATGTACAATTTGGCAAGATACCAAAAATTTCAAGATCTTCCCCAGTTTTGAGATGAGTAAGATAAGGTTGATTGATTTTTCAACTTGTTTCATTGAGTGGATTTTTTTAGATTAATTATTTCTCACTCTAGATTGAAACTGAAAATTATTATTTTTTAGATTAGTTGATTTTTGGTTTGTTGTTAGTGTGACTTATTTGTTGTTGCTTATTGTCCTTGTCTGATAAGGAAAGACGTAAATTTAATGAAGTTGTTGGAACGAGTAGGACACGTTTCATTTTCTTAAAGAAATATAGAAAATAGAATGAGGCATGAAATAATAAATTAGCATTAAATTAAGAAAATAAGGTAATATTTCTAACACATTTACAAAGACTCCAAAAGCCAAAAGCCAAAAGCTGCTACACCTATACAATGTAATAGGCTTTGATGAATGTAAAAAAGCTAAACTCTAAGAAAGCATTTGAGGGCAAAAAGAAAAACTGCCACAGCTATTATTTTCTATATTTTTTTCTTATTGCTTTGATTGAAATTACAGCTTGAGTATAGCTGTGAGGTTTCCATTGTTGATGTGAAGGGTTAGTGCTCCTTGTGGAGAAACAATAATTGTCATCATAATCTGAATAAATCATCCTAGTTCATGAATTTCCTGCAGTTTGGAGCTTTACATAAACATGGAACTTTAAATTCATCTGGCTCGTCAGGATCAAACAAGTAGTCATACCTGCCAGGTACAATAAACATTGTTAAAACATATTGAAATTGTAAGAATTATGCTTTGAAATTGTAAGAATTATGCAATTTGTTCACTGAAATGACACAGGAAAGCATTGCCCCACAAGAGGCGAGCATAGATAAGGAATATACGTTAGCTCGTCACCAGCAGATACTTTAGTCTTGGCGATGAGTGCGATCCGGCTCTCGTCATGACCCACACACATGATTCTTGCATAGCAATTTGGCATACACTGCATTGACATGAACCAAGAATGGGGTAAGAGGAGATGACTAATTATCAGTAATGTTCTAAAGTGAGCAATCTACTGTACAATTTGAAATAGGTTGGCTTACAGAATGGTTAATTAGCCGCGCTATATTTCCCTTATCGGTTGCATCAACTACCACTTCTTCACTTATTTTGAAAAGCTGCCAAAAAAGAAAGAAACCAGAACAATTTAATTTAATAAAATATTCATAACTAAGATGCTTTGAAAAAATCAGCTGTTAAACCGAGGGAATTAACTTACATAGCAGTCTTTCCTTTCTAATTTATAGCGTGCCTCCCTCAGGTCTGCAACGCTGCGCCTTACTTGTTCGCCACGATATTCAAGGACCTGCATTGAATAAAATCATGCTGATTATTTCTACTATAAAAGTTGTACTAATTTTAGATGGAAAACAGAAACACAATGGAAATATTAAATCCATATTTCATACCATAATAGAAGTAAAAGAGAATTAAACTATGTCAACATTTGAAGATGTAAGTTCATGTGCAGCAATAGGTTCGAGGAAACCCTTTGATGTGCATCTCAAATCTCTTGACATAGCACAATATATTATAGAATAGAGCATGTAACAAAACTATCATATTCTCAAATAGCCAAAGATATCATGGGTTGTTAAATTTTTTTCATATTGGATCAGTTGAGTAGAATCTTTTTGTATCTGATCATTTGAGTATAACAATCATACCATTTCTCCTTCTTGAATAATTCTTCGTGCAAACAGACCCCATCCATGTATGCCTGATCTACCGAAGCACACTCGTTCATTTTCGGTTCTCTGGAGTCATGCAAGTGTATCCACAATACAACAATCAGAAAATCGATGAGCAAAGCCAACAAACCACTACTAAAGAAAAAGGAAGATTTACCTGTAGGTGATGAAGGCGTTCCTTAAATGATGAAAATGTCCGAGACTCATCTACCACCTATTAGAGAGAAAGAGATGAGCAAAAGAGTGAAAAATTAGGGGGATGTGGAATACACTTTAAACCTCACACTCAAGCTTAAACAAAGAATAGGAAAATCCAATTATATCAAAGTAAAATATTTACTTTGCATGGACTTAATCTCTGAATTGCATCTAGAGGATGACGGCAGTGACCCCTCACTTTATGAGGAACGGCTTCATCTGCTGCTCTCTGGCAAATAGAAGAAAAAAAAGATGAGAAATGTATTGTTGTTTTACAAGATTTGATAAAGATATCAAAGGGCATATTAGAGGCTATGGTGGTTAACAAGGCCTTAACAGCGAGCATGGAAATAGAGGAATCACAACAATACTCCACAAGCATGATATTTCACCATTACATCACAATCACATGCAAGTGAGAATGTAAGGTGAGGACTAGTCAAGCCTTACAGGTACTACAAAGGCCAAATCTCTAAGAGACGCCGAAATGTTAACCAGCACACTAAAGGTGTTGTACCTCTGGAATGAAGGCAAACGGAGTGGGCCAATACCAGAGTACAGAGTGGCCGCACACAACTATGGCCGATTTTCCAAAAGTATTAAAAATATAAGAGACAAAGTTCGATTGATTATCTTACAAACATTCATCAAGAAGAACAAAAATAGTTTCCAAGTTACCTTTTTTGTGCGGTTTATTCTTACAAAGATTCGGCACTTAGCCGCAGAAAATGGATCATGTTCGGTGTTATCTGCTAGAGGAGTGCCTTCTTCCTTTATTCTGTTCGACGAAATTAATCTTGACCCGACTTTTCTCTTTTTTTGGATAAGGATTTTAGTTGAAATGACCCCTTGAGGAGTTTGTATAATCAAAACAGTGTCTGGATTGGGAGCCCTGCAAGAAATATAGAAATCATGAAGTTGAACAGCTAAAATAAGAATTAGATGAACTCAAATACATCCATACCCATACAATTCCAAAAGCACTGAAGTTTTTTGTAATTTGTAAAAAGCAAACTCTGTAGAGGAAGCAGTATATAAAGGGAGAAAGGAGAAACAATATTGTCCTAATTGAGGATCCATACCTGTGATAAGCACAATAAGAAACCATTCTTGTTGTCTGTTTACCATTTTTCTCCGAACAATGCAACTGCGTTCACAGAGGAGATAACTCAATAACCATTTCATGGATCACAAATTATCCATATGATAAATGAACCATGATAACATTAACTAAAAGTGGAATTCAACCTGTTTTAAATTAAATTAAATGAAAGTACATATTAGAACATATCAGCAAAAAATAGCCAAGTCGATTCAAGAGAAGCCTCACCTCCATGCGATAACCGGCCCTTGATGCACACATGGCATGGTAATAAGTGGAACACTTGCAACATTGTGTGCACGAGCCATGTATTTGCTTACAAATAACACAAATCTGAAAATGAATTACTGCAAACTTTAGATTGAATCAGAATGAACAAAACTAAAAGACACCTAAATGATACTCATATGTTAAGAAACTGGACTAGAGCAGTGGAGCCTAGGTTGTTTCAAGTGTTCACACTCCAGCTTTATAATGTGGTATGAGTGAATGGTGTATGTAACTACCGTCAATTGGTGACTAGAATTAATTAGGCGCAGACACAGTTAATATAATTTATTATGATAAAATACACATATTAGTAGTGATACTATCAAAAACTATACTTCTATTGAAAAGAGATATAAAGTACATTTTTCTGAACAGACAAAAGAAGAGTTAGAAATACCCTACCTTTACGAAAGAGTTCGACGGAATACTTAAGATACCCAAAGCAGGCTCCATTTTCTCATCACTAGCAAAAGATACTTCAGGTCGAAACCAGGCACAAGTGACATGAACCCATAATGGATCAACATCAGTAGGCTTTAGAGCGCCACCTGAGTGTCCAACAATACATTTCAGATATTAAGATATACTCCCTCCGGTCTCATTTATAAGAAAAAATTAACTTTTTAGATACATTAAATAAGTAATGTATTTGGACAATATATTGTCCAAATACATTACTTATTCAATGTATATAAAAAGTTAATTTTTTCTTATAAATGAGACCGGAGGGAGTACTAATTACAAAACGAAGTTAAAAACAACATTACCAAAGCTACATGATATTATCCTAAATGCTACAGTCAAAAAAGGTAAAGAAAAGCAAGATTCATACATGCATATAACGCTATAAGAATCTAGAGACAAATAAAAGTGACATAAAAGCCCATATCTATAATATTGGGTAAGATACACACCTTTTACAGGACAAAGACAACATTCTCGCGTGATGTCTGGTGTTTCACAAGCTTTACAAACCCATGATGTAAAGTCTCGAACATTTCTTGCTCCATAGCATTCTTGATGAACGGCTATTTGGCATCTATAAAATATATAACACATTTTTTATATCAATTGAAATGTCATTCATCGGAGAGTAAGAAACAAGCAAAACAAACAAATCTTGCTTGATAGTTCCAGCTTGCAGAAGGAAAAAAAGTAATTGTATATGTCAGTGGTTTTGTTGTCCCTGGTCTCACTGATAAGGAGGATGGGAGAGACACATATAAGATAAGGCCAGGCAAAATAACAGATTTCCATACATGTAATTAAAAGCATAAGGCAGGGTGCATATTGTGCTTCTTGCATTATAATATTTCAAGACATGGACGTAAACTAATTCTGTTATTAACTGTTCAAACATTCATGAAATCACTATGTTTATCAGCTACAGAATCTTTAGACCTGAACAGAAACTTTTTCTAATCCCTATTTTCCATTGTTTAAATATTTATAATAAACTGAAGATGATATATTACCTGACGCAGATGATAATTTTGTTGTAGTCCCAATCTTCAACCCATCTGCATACAGCACATCGTTCTGTAGTCCACTTAGCACAAACTGGTTCATACTTGTCTGCCAGAGACAATAATTTCCATTACCATTATCACTCTGAGAAATTTATCTAGGAAACTTATTGTATAGACATACAGAAAGGGAAAGACTTAAAAGGTACCTTGCAGAAAGTTAAGCAATTTCTGTTTTCTTTCTTTTGTGGATGGTCTTTTAGGTTTGACATAAACTACAGCTTTAGCATGAAATTCTGCCAACTGCAGCATCTGAAAAGTCAAAACAGATTGTATCAGTTACAACAGTTACATTTATGTTTCATAATAAAGGTCTAGCCCCACCATAAGTCTCCAACCCGAATCTCTCTTTTTCTAAGTACCCCGCATGCCAAATCAAAAGAAACATACGTTCCCGTGGAATATCCAAAGGTCGGTATCATTGCCATTTTGGTACTGAAGACCTCATAATGCAGATAAAATATCAATACTGATGCATAGTAGTAATGTTACATATGATATGAGATCTCGATGATGAGATGGAATTTTTTTCATATTGATATTGATTGGTAAATCAAATATATAGCCAGCCTATTAGTACGTTAAATGTATCATATTGAACTATAAGCTACAAATCTAGAAATTAAACGATTGGACACTTGAACAGTAAGTTATTTTGTACTAGAGCAATCAAGTAAATAAGTGGAAATTTGTAGGGCAAAGAGATCAGGAATACTATGCACCAACATTAAATAATATAGTCATATACGTACCCATTGTTCCAGCGATATCATGGATCCTTTAATCCGAATACTTGTTCTCCAGTTTCTAAATTTGGAACCTGTGTGGCGTTCCCATTCACTAAGTGCTTGCTTTTCAGTATCACAAAAACCACACTTGCACATAACTCTGCAGGAGAACATGGAAAACCAACTCAATATTATAACTAGAATGAAGTATTGAATCATCCAGAAATGATCTCTGTGGGAAATAAAATTCATTGGACATAATTTTGAGGCAAAAAAAAAATAAAAATCAGTGAGCTACATGATAAAAATTCACATCAGGTTTTCATTTTAGTAAAACGAAAAAAATTCCGTAGACGCCATCGTCACCCTTTTTAAGAGAACATAAAATCAGATAGCATTGTGGACTGAGGTTAGTTGTTTTAATTACTAATCTAAAAAAAAAGGTATTAATCTGTTACCACTTGCCACATATTTTACAAACAAACCAACTAGTTATATGTGACGACTAACTATAACAGACAAAACTATGATGATAACACAAAGATAGAAAAAGCAAATAATGCAAAACACTTCTGAAGGAGTTTATGCTTACAAGTGAAGGCTTGGAAAATATATGCCTTCCACACCATTGCAGAGAACAGTGACCTTTTTTGGAAGTCCTAGCTGCCCATTTTTTTTGTTCCATCTATACCAAAAAATTCACGTTAGTCAGAAATGTAACTACAAGAAGCAAAACAAAATGATGTTAAAATGGCAGAATTAGGTTACTCTTATTTATGAGACTAGTTTCATAGGAAAGTCACGTAGAATTACTAAGTTAGGCTACAAATAGAGGGTGTGGAGAAAAGCATGAACCTTATCTATAAACTTACTTGACTTTTGGATTTGATTTTTCTGAATCCGATAATTCAAAATTAAACTTCACTTTGCAAGCAGGGCAGAAATAATCTGTGCTTCCAAGATTCTACAAGAAACAGATATTAAAAATCAGAATAAAACAACATCTCTTTCCGGGCTTCTTATTCCACGAAGAGGCAACAATTAGACATAAGTGCGAGGTATAATGGATAAACCTTGAAAAGGATGCTGGAGATTTTGTCGCATTCAGCATGCACCCACACTTTACATCCATCACAACGGACCTAATTCAAGGCAAACATCCGGAAGGGGGGAAGTTTTAATACCGCAAAAATAAAACTTATGAGCTAAAAAAGACAATACTTTAAATAGATGACAAGATACAACTAACTCACCCAGCTTCCACTATCCGATTGATTCCAAACTTTCTTACATATGCCACAATAATGTTTTGATTTTGTTAACTGTACAAAGACGAAAGTATATCACTTTTTACAACAAATACAGTTTATTTCAATTTGACATTTCCATTTCAGGCTTAAATATAAATTGTTAGAAGAAAAAGGAAGCTACAAACCCTGGCACATGTTTTGCATAGGAGTTGACCACTAGGAGTCAAATCCTTTCTTTTCTTTGACATATTGAGAGGAACGTCCAATCCACATTCTGCACAAAGTCGCGCATTTTTCTCTCTTTCAAATAAATCCTACATAAGAAATTCAAATAAATAAAGTGTTATTTCAGTTGCAAATCATATCTAGTATCCTTAAACATCCTTTAAATTCAACGCACAGTAGAATTAACAGCCACTGAAAGCCACACAGATCCGAAAAACAAAAGAAAATATGCCATGAAGCAAACTTACCTTCTTCTGAACAGGACCACCCACATTCTTATTTGAAGCAGCTACATTCTGAAAGGCTTTAAGAATAGAACTATTACTACAACCATTATTACCAGCCACTGCACTCAAATCTTCATTCAAGTTCTCTACAAACCCCTGATCAGCCAAAAATGCTTCCTCAATCGCCACTTGAAATTGCGAGGCATTACAATAACTCAATTCAGATTGCTCTTGAAACCTAACACAAAACAACATCATTCCCAGTAAGCACAACACAAACTCTTCCACAAAGGAAAACCAAAATAACAAGTATAACAGAAAGCAACAAAACAAACACCAGTATATATCTACAAAAATTCCCTACCTGTCTACATAATCCACAAATGGAAATATCATTCCATACTTCACCCATGCAAAATCCTGCTCACAGCCATCATAAAAACACAAATTAAACAGCCATTATAGAAACTTTCTTTATGCATAATAAACTAGTACTAGTTCATACTATACCCTGTGATTTTCATTTCCAGAGTAACCAAGAAACATGACACAAGCAGCATCAGCTATACATGATCTCAATACCAGCTCAGGTGCTTGACAAATTGGATCAATGACCATTGCAGGCCAAAAAGGTTCCTTCTTCTTCGCCTTAGCCCACACTATATCACCTGCATAAAAATCTTCTGGTCCAAACAACCCCTCGTTCTTCAAAACTTCATTATTCATCTTAGTTTCTTCAAAAATCTCACGCAAACTCAACTCTTTTCCAGCAGCAACACCGAAATTCTTATGCAATACCTCCTCACACAAAACCGAATACCCGCGAGGCCGGTTAGGGCTCCCAGCCATTCCATTCCCATTCTTCCCCTTTCCGAAACCAAATTCATCAAATTCAAATTCCCGAAAGCTAGTATCATCGACCGCAGCCGCGGCGGTGTTGTTTCTTCCTTCTTTCCTCCAATTCACAATAACAGAATCATTAAACCTCGACGGCAACACCTGAAGCCGGCCGCGGGAGGTCCGAACAAGCGGCGGGCGGTTCGCCGCATTCTTAACATCAGGCTTCCCATTAGACAAATCAAACCCGTTATTCGACGTTGCCACGGTGGTTGCAACGGTGGCACCGAGTAATCCAGTAAAGCTAGCGGGAATTGCACCGGCGAGAAGATTCAACGGAAAATTCCCATTAATTTTCTTCTTTTTGTTTCTCTGAGTCAACCTTGACTCGCTCCCCTCCGAGTTACCGAGTCTAGCCCGTTTCCGAGTCGGCATTTCGGATTTGAGATTCTTTTTAATTATCATTCTCAAAAGAAAGAACGAATAACGAAATTGTGAAAAATTCGCATTAATCAGAATCTTCAGAGAAACCGAACATAAACCCTAATTGAAGATGAAATTGAATTTGGAGAAACGGAGTAGTTGAAAATAAACAGCGACAAAACAAAAGAATATTAAAATTTGATGCAAACTATGAGAATGTCGGAGAAATTCAATTCGATCGATCGCAGAAACTATGAAAGATTGAAGAACGAAAGAAAGACGAAAGTGCGATCTGTAACCTGTTTTTCAGAGTTTATTAAAAAATAAAAATTCAGAGATAAATTGCAATGTGAAATAAAAATAAAAAACAAAAAACAAATTTAAGAGAGGAAAAGTAGGAACGAGAGATGAAGTTAAGTATGTTAATGTTAATAATGAATTGAATCAATGTTTTTTTTTTTTACGTGATGAGTTAGGAGTTACTTGAGTGTCACGTGTTGGTAACGAAAATTCAAAGGACTGAATGAAAATGGTGATTCTTTCTTTCTGGTTTTTTTTAACATGGGCCGGGTTCGTTTGTTGCAGAGTTTTTGCAACTACATTATTAAGATTTAAAACAAGATTGTAAGAGATATTTTTGTTCCATGGAATTTGGAGTTTTTATTATTAATGAATTTTGGGGTTTTATTTTTGGTATGGATGGATATAGATTTGTTATTGGGATTTTTGAGATATGGAGAAAAAATGAATTTGATTTTGATTATGTTGTTCGTTTTGTAGAAGAATGGGAACACTGTATAAAGCCAGCAACAAAAGTAGAAAAACATGTTTATTATGAATTTGAAGGTGTTTGTGTTTGTGTTTGTGTACAACAGAGTTGGTTTCATGGTATATATGTAATTAAACGATATATTTTTTTGTTTAAGAATTATATTTATATTATTATTTTGGGTTGAAGAAGAAAACTATGGTGTTTGCACGGTGGCACTATGGGAAATGATTGTTGTTGGTTTGCAAAATTGTTGGTCATCACAAACAATGACAAACAAGTTAAAATATGGATGTTACTAAAGTATGGATCTGAATGAAGGAGTAGTAGTTTGAAACCTGGATCTATGAGTTGAGTTGTTGTATACGTGACATAGTGATTTTTTTTTTAAATTTTGAAGAGAGACTAAGATGTTTCTAGCATGAATAGACGAGGTACGAGGTTGTTGTAAACTGAAGGGGAGATCGAAGATAAACTAAACCTGTTTCAGAGAATAGATAGAGGACATGGTTTTGAGTTTTGTCCCTGTTTTGTTTGGACTTTGAGGAAACTTTTCTCTTTCTTTTAAAGGATTTTAGCAAGATTGAAGATGGACTGTCAGGACACACCTTAAAATAAAGCAGAATCTACTTAAATTTGTCGTTGGTCATGTGAGAAACTTTCGAAAATATAAGTTTGTGATGTTTTAGTCTGAAACTGTTAGTATGACATTGAGTTGCTGTGTGTGAGTAATAGTGGAAATGAAGTCGACTTGAGTTCTATTAGCATGGTTTCTAGTTTTCTAATGGGAAAAGTGATTTTCTTAACTAAACTTGATGATCAATTTAAAATTCAAATTAGATTTTTATGAGTAATTTAATTTGTACGATTGAATAAAAATACATAATTCAAATATTTGATAATTATACAAAGACATCAAAGAAATAGATTGAACTCGTAACATCTCACATATTTATTTTTAAAGGATAAATTTCAATCACTACGTTATTAATTAAAAAAATGCATGATATGATAAAAAAAATTGAATAAAAATATATGATATATGGTGATATAATATTTTTATTCTATTATGTGTTTGATGCATACATTATAAATATGATATTATTATTTTATCGTATTTAAACGTAGTTTAAACTCAACTTTTGAATAAGTTGAAAATAATTTTCTTATTATCTCATCCAAATGTTTTTGAATTATTATTTTATATATTTAAATAAATTTAATAGTAACATAATTAAAAAATCACCACCTTAATTTAATAATATGATCTATATTTTTATAAATTAATTTTAATATTTTAAAATAAATAAATAAATAAATATACGTGTAAAGAAATTTTACACCGTCAGTTAATCATAACAGTTAAATTTTTGTAGATATTTAACTTTTTCTTTGATCTTATATAAAGTATCACTTGTGAATGATTCTGAAGCTTAGTCCGTGATAAAAGTTTGGATAAGGTTTGAGATTATACTGGTACTTAAATCTTCTAGGTTATTGGTTAGCCCGTGTAAAATCAAGATTTAAGATTTGTAAGCTCAGGCCGTGATAAAAGTTTGCAAATTTTGTTTAAAACCTTGAAGACTAACCACTCAAAGATTCTCCTGGAACGAAGATTAACTGCTTTGATCTATTGTTTGTGGAAAGAATACTAACAACTTCGATCTACCATTTGTTGAAAGAGGACTAACTGCTTCGATCTATAAGAAGACTAACTGCTTTGATCTACCATTTGCGGAAAGAGGACTAACTGTTTATATCTACCATTTGGAAGGGAAAACTTAATTGTTATATTTCCAGTCTTATTGTTTGGTTAGAAGTCAACCATTTTCCTTATATAAAGGGATTTGTGTGTATTTCCTACTAAAAGCTCTTAATGTTTATTGAATTATCTCAAGATCAATTTTTGGGGAAGGGAGTGATTCTTTTTATTTTGACCGAACCTTTGTAATTCTTGGTGTTCCTCTCTTTCCCTAAACTCTTTATTTTCCGAAATTTATATTCTGCAATTTATTTTTTGCTGCTTAATATTTAAAATCATTTTCAAAATATTTTTCTGATTTTAATCCGTAAGGGTTTTTCAAAATCATATTTTTCTGAACCACACAATTCACCCTCTTTTGTGTGTGAACATATTCAACATTACTCTCCTACTTTTACAATACGCTGGTCACTCATACATACACGACCAAACAAGCTTTCACACTTCCTTTCTTTCATAACTCTATAGCTTTCAAGTTTCTTTGCTAGATGTACCACTCATATAATCACTTTACTAGATCCTTGAATCTTCTACTTGATGCGGTTTGAGATATCTTCAAGTTAATCACCATCATCAAAGAGTTGAAGAGATATCACCACTGACGTCATCAAAACACTAGGATGGTTGTTAGCAGGATCATCAAATTTTGTACATCCAGAAAAGGACAAACTAATAGTCGGCTTAGGGTGAAGGCACCCGGGGAGCAACTCGGCTAAGAGAGTATCAGACAACCCATGGACCCGGGTAACAACTCGCCCTCACCTTAGACTCAGACGGAGTGGATAACCAGGTAGCACATGCCCGTGACCGATCAGCCTCTCGTCTCATTAAAGCCTGTAATTATTGGTGGTGCATTCATTGCTACGTTACACAACACTAATAATCTTCATTCATGAATACATAGGTGGTTACATAGTTATGAAACTCAAGAGTCCCACATTAACTGAGGCTCTTGATGAAGCCAAGACACTCACTATATAAAGGGGCTCCCGCAAGAGGGATAAGTAAGACATTCATCTTGGGACGCACATATCACTGCCATAACTCTCAAATCCCCCAATTATCTCATAAACTCACTCTGGTAGGCTCTCCCTAGCTGCCTTCTGGGAAGCCGGCCGAATATTTAATCTACACAGGAACATTGGCATCCACCGTGGAGCCTTGATAAAATTATTCCTAGGCCACACCTCAACTTACCTCCTGCAAAATCTCATCACCTGAAGATCCCCCAGACATGGCGCAACTACTAGCCATGGTGGAGGCCCTCAGGCAGCAAAACGAAACTCTGTAGGATAACATTAGACCTATAACAAAGAAGCGTAGGTGTTGTACCCCAAAATTTTTCCTCTCATTTATCAAGAATTTACTCACAAGATCTCATTTGGCTCAAGACTGCACTAGGGTTGATCAGCTCAAGACACCTCCTTAAGCACTGATGACCAAAATTAGGGTTTGAGATTGCACAAGGATATTTTAACTTCCAATGCCCCATATGACTTTAATGGATCATTATGGACCCTCAAGATTATTCATGTCAAGTTTCAAGCTTTAGATGACACTTTTGCTCAATCAATTGAGCAGTTGACCTAAAAATCAGTTGTATTGGGGAAAAGTCAACTATGGCCAATTTACAGTCAAACTTCATAATTTTTTATCCACATCAACATTTTAAACTCATATGTATTATTTGATCAAGTTCGGACCATAATTCCTTAAGAAATTTGATCAAATCTTCAAAAGGGCAAAATGGTTAAAATTAGGGTTTTGACTGGGAAAGGGCAATTTCTGATTTTTGACCTAGAAAATGATCAATTGGTTTAAGGCATGATCTCAAGAGTCCAATTGCATCATTTTTACCTAATGACATGGCTCAAAACATTGCTCAAGTCCAATGGATTGACAGATGAATTTTCAGTCAACTGATCAAAAGTCAATTGTATACTGAAAAGTTAAACTTTGACTTTTTGGTCAAAATCAAATGTCAAAGATCATAATTCATCAAAGCATTCCAAAATATGAAACTTATTCATCAAGAAATAAAAAATTCAAGATTTCATTTTGAAAAGTTAAAATTTCTAAACTTAGAAATTTTTCTAAGTGTTGGAAATTTCTTATTTTTTCACAACTTTGAGCAAAATTTTCACCATGATGCAAGATGATTCAAAAGAAACTTCCCACATAAAAGTTGTAGATCTCCATGAAATCTACAAAATTGATTTACACAACTCCTTCCAAAAATGCTTGGATCTCAAGTTATAATTTTAAGAACACATGGTCATGAAACAAAACAGTTAGTGAAATTTTTGCCCTAATTTGGTCAGGATTTTGACCCAACTTCATGGCACTTTTTCATATAGTTCCAAGGGGAATTTTCAAAAGTGGTTCAAAGATGGGTTGTAGAGCACATTGCAAGATTTCCAAAATTTCCAAGAACTCCTTGATATCATTTTTGAGTAGGGAGAATCGAAGAGATGAAGTTAGGGTTTTATCACTTGAATTACAAGTCATTTT